TGCATCCTTCTGCAGATGTCCCCAATTCCTTCTGTCTTGAGTACTCTACTTTTTACAGAGGTTGTGAGATATTAGCCTTACTGTGCAAAAATATGCATGAATGATGACTAGATAATTATTCCCTAAGCTTAGTGATATTTTAGGGTCAACCACCTGATAATGGCTTTAGTTTTGCTCTTATTCAAGAGAACAACAACTTTTATGACTTTGTAGATTAACAAGTGTGCAGTCTCTCCAATTTGCTTACATTTACAGTAACCTCAGCTTCTTGACAAATTCATCATGTATAGAAGATTGTTATGGGTCTTGATGGCAGGCCCATGGAGAGCAGCAAGGCCACGGGTCATTCCTTCCAGTATTTCTAACAGCTGGTTCATTCCCTTTGGAGATCTCTCAGATGCAGTAGAAATTCTAAGTGGTAGATGTGGGACTGATCTCTAGACCTCTGGTTTCTAAGCCTCATGCTAATACAGTTATCTAGAAGTGGTAGATGTCGATTCATCTGGTAGATGTAGACATCTGTCTTGTAGACATCTATATCTGTTAGCTGAACCTTATCTTACATTTATGAATTTTTATCTCTAGAATAGATTAACTAATATAGTGAAGCTACCATTCCTGAGAGAATAGCATCTAAAAAAGCCCAGGTCTGCATTGTTTACAGATGATTTAGAATCTTGGAGCTGGCCAAGTGTATGCTTGGCTCATGAAATGAAAGAGCATGTTTCCCATTTCTCGATTCACACTGTTGAGCTATGACAATTCATCACAGATGTATATACTTTCCTGGAAAGTTCAACCTGCAATGACCACAGCTATTCATCAGTCAGAAGGGTCATCAATAGACTCAATTAATCACTTGTGCACCATGTCTTTGAGCTGTTTCCTGGAAATTTTCACTAAAGGAACTGGAGCTTGCTGAAATGTGCAGAGTGAGACTCTTTCCTGAGCTTGATTATGTGGGAGTGTTTCAGTTTATCTAGTCCACTGAATAACCTTGAGAATTATAGGAGATTTTTTGCCTTTGCAGCGTGAGCTTTTATCTGACTCAGCCGCAGGCCTAAATCTTTGTTTGCCTTAGAACAGCAGCCGTTCAAAATCACCCACTGTATAAAAATCTTTTCATGTAGATGCAGTCTTTTACCAGTGACGCTCACTCAGCATTTTAATGGCATACAGGGGCCCCTTAAATGCAGACAGTTTTCTATTGGCAGCGTGAGGCTTCAGACAAGACAAAGCAAAGACAACCTCTCAGGAAAATGTGTTATCAGCTCCTAGGCTGTCTTGAGGTAGGCAGAGATGCTGTGGAGTGTAATGTTCATATCCAGCAGCTTGATTGAGCTCCAAATGCTAAAACATGTCCTAGAAAGGCATTTGCAATATTATTAACAGCCATTAGCTCACAGATGCTAGATTTACACGAGGGCATAATAACCCTTAGGAATTCTGAAAGATCTGGCAAACAGGATCAGGAATGTAATTTTGGCTCTTTTTGACTCATCCATTGAGACGTGGTTCCTCCGAGTCTGCTTGTGAGGTTTGTTATGGGTCTGGGACAATTATAGCTCTCTTAGTGCCCAGCACTGGGCTCTGAGTGGTGGTGTTAGATCACCAGGACCTCACATATCTCTTGTTGCATCTCCGTGCACTCAGTTTGCCTCACTGCTTTAACTGTTTCATAGCATCACAGCAATGCCAAGTCTCTGTCAGGCAGCTGCTTCCATGTTCCAAGGGATGAAATCCAAAATTGTTTCATTTTGAAACCTGCAGGTGAAATCACTGTGTTGTGATCATGTTAAAGGGTGACAATAAAAACTTACATAGATTCACCCTTCTCTTTGAATAGCATTTGTATCTGACCCCTAAATTAGATTTTGGGTGGAGAAGTAAACCAAAGGTACAATATTAGTTTTCTATTAGCTTGTTTCTTTAACAATTAGGATAAAATACAGCACTGGTCTCTTCAGCCTGTGGCCAAGATCAGGTAAGATGAAGGAGATGGTGTCTTTTCTTCCTTTTTTCCCCATATCTGATGCAGGTCTAAAATGCTAGGATTTTGTTTACCACTTGGCCAAAAAGAAGTATCAGCCTTGCAAGGGAAAGGCTCCAGAGTTGTATTACAGCTGGGAGCACCGGCACCTGTGGTTATCCCTTACACCCAGGTTGCTTCACAGATCATAGTGCCACTATCCTCAAGCTTTCCACTATGATGCCCTACTGCCACAATATGATATTCTGATCATTTATCAAAGCCTCCTATGACTGTGATCATAGCTGGGGTGCACATAAATTGCACACCACCACACAGTTCATGTCAAAAGAATAAATAAAATCTATTTTAAAAGCTCTGTTCGTTGTCCAATGATGCCTACCTAACAAACAAAATGTACATATGTAATTTCACATAGTTTTAAAACATAAGATTTTAACAGCTTTATGAACAAAACGCTATTGATGGAACCTGGGAGGCTTTCATATCTCCAGTTGTTTAGACTGTAAAATGGCTGAATAGGGAGAGAAATCCTACTTCAGGAAGTGTGAAAAGGATTGGATATCAGGAAATACAAGCACATTGCTGAACAGTGCTTTTATAAATATTCTGACCTTAAATATCTTTTTTCATTTTACCATTTTCATATTTAGAAATCACTTCAAATGTTCATAGAAACCATGTTAGACGTCACAATCATTAGCCTGAGATTTTCCAATTACTTTACATCAGAACTCTGTCACTCTTCTCAAAAATGAAGATATTTGAGGCCAGAATTTATTCTGAGATGTAATTTTGTACATATCGGGCTCATATAATTATAGAGTGATTATATATTTGAATGTACATTTCTGTCTTGCATTCTTAATATAGTTGAATTAATTACCTTGGGGAAAAAAGCAATGTTATTTCTATGTATTTTAAAGCACATTTTTCCTATATATTCCCATCACAATCCATGACTACAATAATCACCATCAATAGTATTATGACACCCATATTCAATTTCAACATCAAAATTTAAGTAAGTTGCAAGGATACTCTCTTTTCCAGAGAAAAGAACTCCATATGAAGAAGTTCACTAATAACCAGCCCACACTTCAGACGGATTAGCAAGTAACTATATTTGAGTGCTGGATCTGAGAATGGTAAACCATGACAAGCAAGGAAAATCCCTCATGCAGTGTATTAGATAATATGAAAATATTAGGAAAAATGAAGTTCATGTTACTAAAATCTCCTGAACTTCAGGAAGTCTGTTGTATCCTTTGTTCACTTAACCAGTTAATTTAATTTTGCCTTTGGGAGCCAAATTGCATTAAGTTAAAATGGCAACAAGAATTGAGGATTAAAAAGCTGTTAGACTAATTTTTTTATAAAACCAATGCCAACAATCTATATTCTACTTCTTTCTTACATTTTACTTCTTTATATAAATTATGTGTTTATCTATTTGGCATCAGAAACATCATGCCAGCTGTAATAGAAGACTTGAGGCAAATTGCGGTGTTTTAAAAATAATGTTTTTCACAACCTTCACACTTCCTACTTGTAAAGTCCTGGAGAGTCCTACAGAATAATCTAGAGTTCAGGGTGATTTATTCTGACATACTATAGTCCAGATAATTTTTTTGCTACAACAAAAGAAGGATGAAAGGAAATTTCCAGAAGAATCATTTGGGACTACTCCACCCACATTATTTGTGCCTGTGTGTATGTGTCTGCCTCCTGTACTGTAACACACTAAAAGGATCCTGCTCTACTGCTGTGGTCCATCCACAGTGATCTGTGACAGGCTAGGAAATTCTCCTATATTCACAGTGACTGTCCACCATGAACTTGGTTTTCTGCAGAGGCAACGTAAATCCCAAACTAGCATTTCTTCTATAAAGTCTTGGTGAGAAATGGAAGGAAAAATTATGCACATGTCCCACTACCAATGTGCAGCCTGACTAGTATCTGAGGAACAAGGACGGTGAGAGATGGTGCACAGCGACAGGGTTGCACGAACACAGGACTACAGTCACTGGTAATCAGTTGCACCAGTGGAAATCCCAATTGGATCTAAAGAACAAAGATCTTCACCATGAGAGTGGTTAAGTACCACAGATGCTGTCGGATCTCTGTCCTATAAAATTTCCTAAAGTCCCATGGATGAAGCCCTGAGCAACCTGATCCAACCACGAACTTAGCCCTGCTTTGAGCAGGAGGTTGGTGACTGGAGGTCCCTGTCAACTGAAATTATTCTATTATTCTCTGATTGTCTTCTCCTACAGGAGATGATAGCTGGTTTGGAAACTGAGTTCATCTTCCTCCAAAAATGTTTCATCCATATATAGACCTGATGTGACCCTCCAAACCTTTAAGACAGTGGTTTGCAGTCTTTATCAATCTGTGGACATGAAAATATTTCCAGTGATAGTCCAGATCTTAAAAGCAGCTTTAAATCTCTTCAGAAGAAGTTTCTTTTATTTAGTTAGTTTTCACAGATTCTTTATTAGTAGGTCACAGATGCCTACGTGTCCATATGCCACACTGAAAACTCTGATTTTGATGGTTCTAATGAGAACAATGTTGGATCAGACTCGACTTTGATTATCTTGCAAAACCATTCTTTCTAAAGAAATAAATTTTCACTTAGTAGTCTCTCTGCCTGTCTCTTTTTCTTTCCATGCACAGACTCCCCTTGAGTAAACAGCCTATAAACCAAAGAACATCACATCCCATTTTTACGTAGGAGAATGCAGAGATCTTTTCTCCCTTAAAATATAGTGAAATAGGAAAAATAAGCTACTTGGCATTATTAGAAAGAAAAATTATGTCCTGGTTAAACCACAACAAATTACAAGAAAGTTTCATCTGAGAAGTTTATCTTATTGAGCAGACATATTAATCATTAACACAGAAAGTAATATGGAAAAACGTATGCATTCATGGAGAGAGTGAGACTCAGAAATCTATGTCTCATTCTACTTCTCATATAAAAGAACAGAGGAACCATCTTAATTACCTGTTTCCATTTTCCCATCTTGTGCTGCAGGCCCATCAGGAATTACACTCTTCACCTGGAGAAACTCATCTGGCTCATCCCCACCAATGATGGTAAATCCAAAACCCATGTTGCTTTTCTTAAGAGTTGTGCTGAGGAAAGTCCCCTTCAGCTGTGATGCATCACGGGTGAAGAGTGGTTTTTCTACATCAGTCAACACAAACAAGAAAGACAAAAGTTCTTATCTAGTCACAACACAGCGGGGGCAGCAGATAACAATATTGGCTGACAGCAGGTGACAGTGTATGAAAATCAAGGAAATAAGGAGTGCAGGTATTCCAGGAACAAAATATTTGTGAGTTCTTATATTAATACAAAGCTTAAAACATATTTCTTATTTATGCCAGATCAGCCATAAGTGGGGAGTTATAAATGTTCTTTCATATTAGACATACATTTAGAAGTAGATATTGTGTAGGTAAAATAATTACAACAATAAAAATGATCTGTGAGGTAATTTTAAAACCTCTTTCCTAACCTATAATTTCAGCTTTGTCTACAAAGTAATGCATTCTCCATTATTTCCTTCCCACCCGCAATAAGGAAAATAACCCCTGAATATCTTACTCCAATTGTTAAGAAGCAGTGCTAAATATTAGGTGAGCTTTTCTTTCCAAACACGTGGGGTTTTGGCATCCCACAAGTGACAGACGTAACTGCTGTGCAACCTTTGCATTCCCTCTCCGCGTGCCTCGGTGTGCAGTGTGGGCAGTGGGGGGCTCCCCGTGCCTCTCTCCCGTGCTGCGCTTGGTGAGGAAGGGTGGGAGGAAGGTGCAAAGGTTGTGACTTCAACTGCTCTCGCTACGCCCGCAGCAGTGGGGCTGAGCTGGCTGGCAGCGGAGGACATACCGTGCAGCCTGCACGTCCCGGTGGGGTCACGCCGGCACTGGGACAGGTCATTCACGCTGCGGGACCTTTTGGGAGCGGGGCGCGGGTGGGCGAGTTTGGGTCTAGGTAAGGTTGATGAGGAGCTTTCTACTGTTACAAAGGAGAACAAGCCTCATTCTCTGGCTATAACCTTATGTTAAAATTTATTCGTCTCTACCAATACCGTTTGCTGCTCATACAGCTCATTTTAAGCACATTAATTTTTATGTTACCAAGAAGCTGTATTCTTGTAAACTCCTATAACACAGTGCTTGAGGCTTTTAACTTAATTGATGTTTGCTAGATGAGCTAGCTTAGAAACATACCAAGCATCAATTAATGGTAATTTAGAGAAAGTACAATTAATTATTTCAGTGTTGCCAACCTCGGGTGCTCAAGAGAGAGTTGTACATGCCCAAGAATAGAATTTATGATTTTATTTAGAAAATTACTTTGGGGCTTTTACTGTGCTTTCTGTTTCTCAGCCTTTAGGAAACACTAAGGTGTTTCCTAAACTACTACTACTTTTCCATCTTTTCTCTGCGCCTCTGAAGGTTAGAGTATTTTAGGTGGCCCATGAGTCCCGCAACTCTGGGAGCTCAGACATTTACGGGAGAAAAACGCTAGGAGACAGGTGATAACACTGTGAGAATTGGCAACACTACTCTTTTAATCAGACTATGACAAAATCATTGTCACATAAACAGGAGAGCAGGATCTTTCATCTTAACTAAGATAGCTGACACGGTACTGTACCTCGGAAACCTTGGGCCTGCATAGGCTTTGTTCCAAGTTCTGCGTTGGGCATGTTATGCTGCTGTAGCTTCCTTTTTGCTTCTAGGACAGGGTTTTCAAATTGTGTTCTTCTATTTACGTGGCTGGAAAAAATTTGGTTTTGATTAAAAACTGGGTTCAGTTGGGGAAAATGATCATTTTCACAGTAGGATGCTGTATGTGACTTAGGTGTGTGGGGTTGCAAGAGTGAAACAATTATGAAACCCCAATGGGCCTGAGCATGTCCCTTATACTCCAGACAATTTTGTTGGGCATGAGAAATGCACAATCTAGTGCACTGCGTAATGAACAGCACTGAGAAGTGTCCTATCATTTCAATATGCTGAACTCTGCTACAGACGAATGGTTTTGATCTATGGGACTACATATTAAATATCAGTACTGCTGAAGCATGCTACAACGACAGTTTTTCATGTCTTTAGTACAAGCATTGTTCTGTGCATGATTCAAAGGATCTGAACCAGTTTTGTGCATTATTATCGATTAGCTGTAAGTGAAATTACTTAATCGCTTATAGAAAAGGTAAAGCCTAGAACACAGAGTGTTTTTATGATCGCAGCTTAGGAATAAATCTAACATAGGAAATAAACTGAAGATGATTTCTTTTTAATTCTATGGTATATATCTGCTCAGCTGTACAGCAAAATCAGAAGTCAGATGGTAGATTAGAACTACATAGATAAATATATGAAATATAAGAAAAGTTAATGTACACATTTTTTTCTTGATATTTTACATTTCCTACAACAGGTCAGTAAGTACATCTCTGTCATTATACCACTAATTTTCTGTATTGTGTTTAGAACTACTATCTTAACTACATACTCTCATCATATCCTTGATTTTAATTCTTTAATTTGAAGCATAGATTTTATCAATCAATCAATGAGTAATCCTAAATCCTGTCCTGTGATATGTTTCACAAGTTTTCTGAAGAAGGCAAAACAATTTAGTAGGCTGCATGGAACAATTCCGCAAGATAGGATCGTGATAGGATCACAACTGAGAAAAGGCGCTTGTGCTGCGAACGTTGCTCTGGGGAAACAAATACATACGTACAGAAGGGCAGGTTTTCAAACATGTCACTCCTTATTTGTTCTCACTGAGCTATTATGTATTGAATTCTTCTGAAAATCCAATCCCAATCATGGGCTTTAAGAACTTGGAGAGGTGACCTGGGAACTTTTGAAATGCTGAGATCCTAAAAAGGGTTGAATACCTTCAATTTATATTGAAATGACCTTTTATGCCACATTAAACACTTTTCAGGTCCCTTGGGATTCAGATCCTACCACTGCTTCAAAGAAAGTAAGTGGAATTGCCACTAAGAAGTGAGGTAGAGGAAAGGCAGCAAGTCCTATGGGAGTGCAATACACTTGGAAAATCAGGATTTAGTGGCCAGAGCTAATGCAATGAAAAGATTTCCAGTCATGTAAAAGAATATTTGATTTAATGAGAGGAAGTAAATGTGATAAATCCTGGAGCTGCTACTTTGTTAACATGGCTATAACTCATTCAAGTGGCTGCTAACTTACTCTTGTACTCTAAAATTTTGATTAAGAGTTTTCTTGTAAATTTCAATCTGTGCTGCAGACAGAGAAAGTCCCTTTTGTTTCTTTCCTTCTTCAGACAGGCTGTTTAAGATTGTAGGCTTTCCTTTCCTAGACTTTTGCTTTCTAGTTAGACCACGCTGCAGTTGTTGTCAGGGTCTTCAGCACCTTAGTCTATTGCAAACCTAGAAACATATGATGGAAGGGAGACAAACTTCACCAGTTAAAAATGGAGAAACACAAGACTTACATGCATTAAATAGGGTAATTATGAACTACTAACATAAGCATTAAAAAGGTCATTTTCATGCTACCACCTATCATGTGATGTATTTCAATATTGTAAAGGAAATATTACTTTTGCCATTACACAAGGCAGTGATGAAACATCATGTGAAATACTACATAAAGTTCTGAACACACATGACCAAATAAAATGAGTCCATAGAAAAGGTTTTACAGGAAGACCAGTAAAAGAGAGAGTCTTCTATGATAGAAGACCAAAGGAGGTTTAACTTTTTATTCAAGCAGAATTAATTCTGATATATAATTGCATTCTATGAATACATTTGGAATTAAATACTAGAATGTATTAAAGATGTCAGGATTTCAGACTTGAAATCTGTAGGTTTCTTACAAGCCGAAGTGTGAAATTACGAAACAGCTTCCAACAGCAGATACGGGGTAAAATATCTACCTTGTTTTATGTCAGCATTTGATAAGGTTAAAAACAGGGTTACTACACAGTGGGTTGAGTTGCTTCAACATAGGGATCACATCTTATTTTAGAGGCTCTAAAGTATCCTGCCCTGGTCTTCAGCTGCCCTTCCAGAATAGCATGGGTTTCCCATAGCTTTTGTGCCATATTATGCAGATGTAATGGATATCCAAGATCACACTACAGATCTGCATTTAGGACCTTGAACTATGCTTAGTGTCATGCTGTAATTTCAGAGCACATCTCAGTGCCGCAGGAGGCCCCTTGCAGACCTAAGTTACAACTTATATGTGGTTCTGTGATATAAAAAAAGATGGGATTTTAGCTAATATAGGATGTGTTCATGGCTCAAGGAACATCAGTTCCTGTGGTACTGACATCACAGCTAGAATCTGTTATCCACTGCCTCTCTACAGTTTCTAGGTAGAGTTTAAGTTGTGCTTTACTCCATTTACACAGAAATGTCTTCAGTAATGGCCATCTTGAAAATGACCTTTTTGTCCTAGCAGATCAGACAGAAAGACTAGCAGAGGTACTTGAAGCATCTCAAGTTGTTGGTGCAACCTTAATAATTCTTAGCTCCAATTTATTCCCATATTTTTACTGTTTTATAGTAGCGCGCAGTCTCAAAAGCACAGTGTGAGAATTCCAACAAATTCAAACAACTGCATTAAATATTGTGTCCAAGAGGAGTCAAAGAAAAGAAAATTATACTGATAATCACTCATTTTTATCAGTCAGTAACACTGGATTTATGCTCCTAGACTGATGAGACATGAAACAGCTCCCTTTCATACAATTTTAAGTGCTATACAGCTTCACGGCTAAATCAGAAAAATTGCTACTGATGAGTTTACCTGAGAAAGAAGTTATTAAGCTAAGTAGTTCCCTTGAAAGGACATTCTAGCCTTTCATCTAGCTACTTCAACTGCATACAAAACAGATATTACTAATCTAGACCTTAATAAGACAAGCCAAATGCGAGTTTTACAGATAGTTACAAAGACGTGCTTTTGTGGTTAAAATAGATTTTGGTTGTGATCCAAAAATATATTGCTCATTGCTCATAGTATCTAATTCAGTGAGCATTTATATCTTCACTTTTCTTCCTGTATTTTATCCAGTGCATATTAAATATAAAAGCCTAATCCAAAGAAAAGAATCCATCTAATTTCTCCTAGTGCCATCGTGGCTGTACAGAAGAATCATGCTGCCTTTTGTTTGTTTTCTAGTCCTAGGAACCTTGAATTTCCCTCTGCAGAGAAGAAGGGGTAGTCAGTGCTGCTGTCCTCTGCTGGCTCGCCATGTGTAAACTGGGGACAACCCCTCAGAGGTAGGATTTGGTTTTGGGCTGCATTTAGCTGTGAAGTTGAAATAGTGTCTCTTGTGTTATGAGTAGATACTGTCACCACCAGCCAGCCTATAAGACATAAGCACCATTCTGCCATGTCATCAGTGAATGTGGCCAGGCTGAGTTGTTTCTGTGATGGAGTTTCACATTAGATGTGCTTAAGACAACTGAAACACATTCTTAGGAGATTTATGGGCAGTAATGCCTAGTATGCAGATTTTAGTTGACGGCCAAGATACTGAGCCTTGCCAAAATGGTAGGACATCTAAGCATGTGCATCAGAGCAGGAGTTTAACCTATCTCCTTTTCTTAGCTACTTTAATGTATGAGGTTTTTTGGTAGTTTGTGATTCTAACTTTTGGAATTGTTGCCTATAACCCACCAAAGTAATTCTGAGGATCAGGATGCCTGATGACATTCTGATGCACAACTTGTTAGCGCCTAACTCCTCTTTACATTCACATTTTTCAGTTACTAATACTTCATAATGACAAAAAGATCTGAAATAAGTTTTTCTATTTGAGTAGGAACAGAGTGTTGTCAGAAATTGTAAGTCAAGGAGGTATATTTTTCCAGAATAAATACCTGTATGGCTAATTTAGCTGTTCTATTAAGGAGACCATGTCTGGAAATTGAGCTCTGTGTTGTAGTTAATCATCTTTAAAGGGGGAAATAATCTTTTGGCAATTAGAATGCTGAAAGACCCAGCGCACTTTAATAATCACATTCTCTCCATAGCCCTGCACAGCTAAGTGCTGCTAGTTCTTAGTTTATAAATTAAGAGAAAAATACATGGAAGTTAACCTACGTATAGCAAACACTTCTCATTTATGTCAAATGTCTACACCTTACAAATGAAGCCTGGACCTGCATAACAAGGCAAATGAAAATTTTAATAATGTCTCACACCTACATTCATGCAAGATTAAGAGAGGAAGTTATACTGGGGACCTTATTTTTTAACAGAACTTACAGATATATTGTGATTAGTCTTTATTAACTTTGCTTGCAAGACCTTTGAGGTTTTTCTTTGTTTCTTTTTTAGCTTTTCCTCTGGTCTCAGAGTATTGGAGCTGAGCATGGCTGGCCCATGTAAGGTGAACCTGAGTCTGTCTGCCTCATTGCTCATCCTTACAAACTTCCCATGGGATACAAATATTTCAGCGAGCAGAGTACAGGCCCTTCTTTCACCTGCATGTAAAGTTGGACTGGACTTGAATGTGTGAAAGTTCATAACCTAACTTTTCATGATTTACCCACTTTTACGACATAATTAAGAGAGTTTATCGTAATCTGATTTTATCTAGTTAAAAATGAACTCATCTGTTGAATACTGCTAATAAAAAAAGGTGTGACTGCCACTTTTTAGCATGAAAAATGGAGAGCAATCTTTGTTTCAAACTTATTGAGCTCAGACAGCAAATTAAAGTACAGCTACATTTTACTGACTATAAAACTCCTTATGAAGTTAGTGCGGCTGCAGTTTTAATGCCATCCTGTGAAGATCCATTCCACTTCTAAAAACCTCTGAGCCTGCAGTAGGTTTGATATTTCTTTCCACAAATCTTATCTGTGGTAGGATTAATAAATTTGGCACTAACAGCCTTAAAGTATGTAATTGCATAATAACATCTGGGCCTGGTGCCTTGCGCCTGTTTACCTGTGGATGGACATGAAATGGAGATAAATACTGGTTCTTTTTCTGACTCACCGGTGAGCCTCACCAGTGCCAGAATGCCTTGAGCTGTGCTAACAACAAAGCGGGGTCTCAGTAAGAGATTAATGCACAGAAATTGCACAACACCTGTTAGTCACCAAAATGCGCTAAAACCCACTGGGGCAGAAGACTCTTACACCCAGCAGCTGCATAATGCATTTCTGCACGTGCAGAAATCTTCAGAGGGGGTTAAGTACAAAAAGATATGTGAACTCCAGCCCTTAGTTACTTCGGGACATCATAAAAGAACTCAGGCATAAAGAGAGAGGGTAATTTAATGGCATTACATAGGGACTTCAAAAATTTACTCATCTTTTTCTTCAATCTGGACTGACTAAGCTGATTTGGGCTGAGCAGCAAAGCAGATGGGGCTGCTGGCTCTTTCACCTGAGGGCAGAGAACAAGCCGGGGACAAAGAAGCAGAGCAGGTGCTACTGCATTTGGAGAATGGGACAGAAGGAGTCAGCAGGGCAGTGGCCAAACAGTGTTTTCATTTGTTTGTTTGCTTTCTAGGAGGGCTAGAGAAGGTGCATGGGCATCCACAAGCTGCTGCTGCTATAGCAGTGAAGAAAAGGGAATCAATCTTTCAACCCATCAGAAACCAGATATTTTTTTGAGCTCCCTGTCAAGCTCTACCCTGTGCAAGTTAATAGTAGCTTATCCTGAGGTCTGGAAAAGCTGCAGCCCTAATACCTGTCCAGAGTGATCTTGCAGTCAACGTGTTGGTATGGATTTGAGAGACCAAGGGAGTAATGTGACACAAACTAAAATTTTCTGTTTTGTATGAAACAACTAGAATAAATGTACTGCTTAAACGGCAGGATTTTAAATTGAGATTTTAGGTCAGGGGCCATCTTCTCTAAAGATGCTTCTTGTTTAATAAAAGGAACTAATGGATGGATCTTTCTCAACCTTTCAAGTGCTGTCTGCACAGTGAAGGGGAGTGGCTTTCTGCCTCCTCTGCTATATAGTTTGTGTAGAGAGCAGAGTGAGAACTGACCACTCTGAACTGGTATCACAATTTTGAATCTAGATTCACTTTGCATAAGTCTCATTCACTCTGTTAAGCTAAAAAGCAGAGAAAATCATCTCTCTGATTTACTTGTTTTATGTAGGAACTGGCCAGAACAGGTTCTACCTAGTACTTCAAACAAAAGCTTGCTGTTGCCCTTTGAACAGAGGAGTAAGAATCTTTTTTTCTTGTTTCATGACTAAAATAAAATCTGAAAAAAATGAAAGCAAGGATTGTGCTGTGAAAAAAGAAATTTATATTATCTTATTTTCAGCTGCACTTTTAAGTACAAAATAAACCACAACATCCCTAAAATTTTATATGCAGTGCATAAATAACCTGCCTTCTGGTACAAACAGTGTAAACATCGGATTTGCAGCAAGGAAGGACTACCCAGAAAAGGATCTTAACTGAGCTGAAATGATTATGCTTTGCTCTCTTCATTGATTAACAAGATCTCTACCTCACTGGATATCCAAATCTTACGTAGAAAATAAAACATATCTTTAGTGTGTATGATCTTTGTACAAGCATTAGCTGGAATGATACCATGCAATCAGACCCTGGAGAAAGAGAATGACTGAATGCCTGAGTCACTGATTTGAGACACATTGAATATATTTGGACACATTAGCTGTATTGATGACTCAGAATTCCTGGTATACCCTCAGTTTAACACGTCAAGTAATTGCACCCATGCCTTGCCGGGCTAAGCTCTGCAGAGGATACTAGTATTAGGTTATGACATATTAACAGCAACTTAATATTGAACTTGAGAACTTACTCAACATAATAAGTGCCATAAATGGGATCATCAATTTTCTCCCAGCCATATGGAAGCTCTGAAAAACAAAGAGTTATCTCTTTCAGTAAATGCAGTATGGAATGCTAAGATTCCTAATAATGAAATTGTGGATCTTTGCTGGGTGTTGAGGGAAATAACTTGATAGTGAAACTAGATACAGTCACCAAAGCAAATGCCAAATCTTGAACACACGCCATGGCAGCCACAAGTAGTAGTAACTTGAAAACTGGCATGCAAACACAGATCTCAGTCCCTAGAACAACACATTTTAGTTGAACTACTTTATTGTTCCAACAGCTGTGCCAGCCAACAACTGTAGCACATCTTGTATGACATCACCGCCGGAGGAAGTGAGGGCATTCTGTTTTCCCAAATAGGTACACACAAAAAAAGTACTTTGCTTTTTGGGCTTTTTTCTTTGCTAGGAAAAGTTGGTCTAGAAGGAACGAAAAGAGTTTGCCTCTTGCCATGTGAGTACAGTAAGTATACCTAAATGTTCCTGAGAAGTTTGTACTATTTGTCTCACTGTGATGGCAGTTCCACAGCCACCAAAGGTATCCTGTTCCAAAGCTTAGTTTTATATCAGGGACATCGGAGTACATAGTAGTACGTGGGAGTACAAACCAAAATAACATGTTATAGCATCTTCTGGCCATAAAACTAATTACATTTTGCAGAAATAGAGATCCCTAAAACATTCCTGTATTAACAATTAAAATGTTAAATACATTAATTTTATGATCTTGAAAATTAATCTGTGTTCATGTACAAGCAAACTGTCATATATATATATTCATGTACATCCATACATGTTTTATTATCATTCACACTGAATGCTTAACAAATTATTATACTCCCAACAGAACTTCATCCTGTGTTTAAAAGGCACCAGACGGATGTGACAAGTATCTCAGTTGACACGAACAGAGTAAAAACCTCAGTGCCAGATGTAATGACTTTGATGGAGAAGACTCACAAAAGGATGGGCATTCCCATCACACACAGGTATCGATTTCTGTGCAGTTAAAGACTATGGCATAATATATGGGGACTGGTACTGAGATTCTATAAGGAAATTTGATTCTGGAATTTCTTATCCAGATTTTTTTTCCTTTTTAAACTCAGTTGCACTTTTAAAGTAACTTTTCGGAGACAATGAGTACTGAACTAGACAGAGCAGAACTGATGTAACTCATACTGAACAGAGTTATTAAACTGGCCATAAAGAAGTACTCCTGGATGATTTGAGCTTCTTTTCTTTTTCAGTAACAATGTGCATAGACAATTATTGATGTGCTCTAAAAGGCAAATAGGGAAGTAAAGCCTGACTGGCAATAGAAAGATTAAAGAGTTAAAAAACAATTTTAAGAAATGGCTTCATCTCTGCTTGTTACTTCTCATTTAAATGCCTCTGTAATAGCTGATCCTTTCTTGAGTGAACCTGCTTAGACAGCTGTAGTCTTCATGTCACATTGCCCTCAGAGGATGTTCCTGCTCAGCCTATTCCAGTACTGCAATGAAGGATACAACCTTCTGCCAGAGACAGGCAGATGAGGAACTCCACATTACTTTTTTTGTAATGAAAAGCTCAAGGACTTTCTTAGTGTTGATACTCAAATTTTCCTATTATTTTTACAATATTGTTAGCTTTGAAGTCTTCACAAGTCTGCACTCTGAACTGCTTTTGTCAGGACTATTTTGTTATTGTCACTTCATAGGAATAAATGCAGCATAAGGTATTTAAGCAGATCACAGAATCACAGAACAGTTGAGGTTGGAAGAGACCTCTGGAGATTGTCTAGCCCAACCCCTCTGGTCAAAGCAGAGGTCACCTAGACCAGGTTGCTCAGTACCATCTCCAGCCAGCTTTCGAATATCTCCAAGGATGGAGACTCCACAACCTCTCTGGGCAACTCCTTCAAGTGTTTGATCACCCACAGAGTGAAGAAGTTTTTTCTTATGTTTAAGCAGAATTTCCTGTATTTCAGTTTGTACTCTTTACCTCCTGTCCTGTCACTGGGCACCACTGAAAAAAGCCTGGTTCTGTCTTCCTTGCACCCTCTCTTCAGATGTTTATTTAGATTGATAAGATCCCCCTGAGCCTTCTCTTCTCCAGGCCAAACAGTCCCAGCTCTCTCAGCCTCCCTTTACAGGGAGATGTTCTAGTCCCTTAATCATCTTAGTGGCCCTTCACTGGGCTCTCTCCCGTATGTCCATGTCTATCTTGTACTGGTGAGCCCAGAACTGGATCCAGAACTCCACCTGTGTCTCACCAGTGCTGAGTAAAGGGGAAGGATCATCTCTCTTGATCTGCTGGCAATGCTCTGTCAAATGCAGCCCAGGAGGCTGTTGGCCTGCTTTGTTGCAAGGGCATGTCACTGGCTCATTTTCAAGTCACCAAGCATTAGAAAGCCCTGGTGTTGCTCTTGCCCCGCCCAGAATTTTGATAAAATCTGTAGGAGATTGACCCTACAATGATTCCCACAAAGTCCTGTATATCCTGAGACAAGACTGTGGGTTGCAATACATAAATATTCAAAAAGAAAGCAGCTGATGCACAAATCCTGTACTGCCCCTACAGTAAATTTCATTCCCAATGCACGCACGATAAATAAGGCTCCTCTTAATAATTTACTATGAAAAATAATACTCTTATATAACCCTATGACATCATAGAATAAATATAAAGTATTAGTTTAAATACAGTAGGTACATTTTATTTTCATGTAACCTTGCAAGGATTTCCTTAATCTAATTAACTTCATGTTGCTTTCATATCTGGCCATCAAAAATTACACTCCCTTAGAAAAAAATTAGGCAGGTACCAGTAAAATCTGTACAGACTTAAAAATACACATAAACATGCGCACACACACATAAATGTGTGCACAGGTCCCTTTTCCAAAGTGTATTAGTAGACAGAGTTTTTTCGAACTACAAAATAAAAAAAGAAAGTAGATGTTTTGCCCAAATTTAAAAGTAGGTATCTTTCTGTAAATATATACACTTTAAAACATATAGATGCAGAGGACACATTTTATTTTACATATTTATGAAAATCTGAAATAATTTGAGGATATACTATTAACCTATTGGCCTATTTTTTCCTAAAGTAATGATGCATATCTGTATGTATGAACTAGCACAACTATTGAGAAGGCAAATGGCAAATCCCATTTTCTAGTGTAAAAGTCTGTAAAAATTTAATGAATTGGACATATTATGGAGAACTCACTTTTAAATGCATGGATTGAACCACTGATTATCTAACATCATAAAAAAGTCATGGGTTCAGGAGAAAGGAAATAAAAAATTACCTTCATGTGCCATAATAGATATAAACTCCATGTAAGGCTATGCTTTAATTTCATTTTTCCATTTGAGATGCAGCCTGTAAGCTACGTTTAATTAAAATTCTGTGTTGACCAGTAAAATGGAATTGCTAGAGCACAAACCCCAAGCCCCCTGCTCTCCCTGAAGTGTACAGAGATTCTGTTAGAAGAATCTTCTGCTACATTTCCTTTCAGGAGCACCGTGATTATTTTTCATTATATTAAATGGTGGCATCTATTCCATTTTTCACTATTGAAATGAAAGATTACAGGACAGAAATACTTTAGTGCTTCATAAAATAGGAAGCTAAGCATTTGCCAAATTAGGGGTGAGGACATTACAGTTTCTCTTTTTCATTTCACTGTGCCCCGTGATGATCATTAGGGATGAGAGTGAACAGTAAACATTTATAAAAGAGAATTGTTATAAAACACTTGTAAAGGAGATTACTATTGGCCACCGTGATTTGAATTGGGAAGGGAGCTATAAATTATAGTATTCTCTGATATTCATTTGGTAGCACTAGCCTGCTAGTTCATGTATAATTTGTGCAACCAACAGTTTCATGGTTACCATGCTATATATGAAGTCTTAATTTTCATGAGCTCAACACTTCTATCGTTCATGTCTTTCAATTCTATTGACTCCAGGAGGATTTCTCTGTATAGAAGGAAAAAAAAATCTATCCTTTATTTTCAGTCTTCAATATCTGGCATTGCATTCCCACAGATCTCCTCTTATCATCCAGTGATAGGAAAGGTGCTGGATAATCTGTATAGTACATATACATGCTCCAGTTTTCACATTTCATGCTTTATTCCTAACCAGAGAAGCAGCATACAGCTAACACTGCAGCAGTCATCCAAAAAAAAAAAAAAAAAAAAATCAAAAAGGCACAGCTGATGCTCAGACACTTTGCTCAGTATGCATCTAGGTAGGTTTTTAAACGCAGAAGGAGCTGCATTTCTAAAAGTGAAATGCCCAATGATAACAAAGGCCTTTGTATTTTCAAAGAAAGAAAGAAGGAAAGAAAGAAGCAAAAAAAGAAAGACTAATGTAAATTCAAGCAGGTCCCTTCAATAATCAGTGGTAGTGCCTTCTCATCATAGCCTGCTTATGCTAATGGTCCAGATGCTCTTATTCTGCCTTCTGAAAGCTGTTGTGTTTCAGAATGATTTTTTGATGGTGCCACTTAACCTTCTCTGGGGATGGAGGAAGGAGTACATTTTGGATCTCGATGTGCCAAGATGAAAAAGCATATTACCAAACCCAAAGATTAATTTTTCTGAAGTTTATGGAGTACTAACTGTGTTGAAGAGAGTCATAAAAACCTCTCAAGGTTTCAGAACAACAGCCAGCATTGTGTCACTACCCTACTGACAGGCTGGAAAGACAGACGAGAGCATATTTCTTGAATTGGCTAAAATCAAAATATTTGTATAGTACAAAAGAGTATAGTATGAGAGGGAAAAAGAAAATATAATGCCTGCTGCTATTGAAAATGCTGTCAATAAGGATGTGGAAGCTGTGGAAGTCAGCGTGAGTTTCGTTCACCTGCCTTGTTAACACCCAGACACAGGTCAGGAATCCTTTTCTAACCTATGTATGAGACTTCTCAGAAAAATATTTTGTCTTTCCACTCAATGGCCTGTGTTTGTTTTATCTCTTGCTTTCTCTCTTCTCTTTTCTTTCTCCCTGTTTCAA